TTAACAATTTTTTTTTTTTTCGGTTAAGCATCGGGGTAACCCGACAAGTCTTGAATGCACAGAGAAAGTTACGGTGCTCAAGAAACCAGACGTCTTTAGGCAACTAAACATTCATGAATATGCAACGTACCAGATGGATGAGTGTGAGGACAGGCTCACGAATCTTGTTCATGTTCTGAATAACTGTTCATTCTCTGAACTGTTTGTGGAATTAAGATTGACCTGATTGGATCAGGTGCGCTTTTTTTGGAACACCTTTTTTGGTGGAATACTTGAGGCGGGCCAGACACACCTCTGCTCTACAGTATTGCGCTAAATTAAAACATACGGTAACAACAGAAATAGTTAAATGTACATCCTGATTTCATGCTTTAATTCACCGTCTGTCTCCTTGTGATGGGTGTGCCTTGGCCAACAAAGAACAGTCCAAAAGCTATGCATGTTTAGACACGAAAAAGGATGGATACGACTGCGCAGTAAGCTGCTGAATTATTCGTCATTTTTTTGAAGAGGATAAAGAATCTATGCCCTAGAGCAGGGGTGTCAAAAAGTTTAATACAGTATTTGTGCAGCCCCCGCGGTTTGTTCCGTGTAGTAGTTGCCCTGGGTGTGGTTTTTTTTTTTTCTTTTTTCTGAATCACTTATGGGCTACCGGAGCTCAGGCTCATGACGGTTTTCAGCAAAATGTCATTCTGAAGTGAGAAGAAAAAATATCCTGTCACCTAGTCCCAATCGTGTCTTTTTCCAAACCTGCCGGTGGCTGGCAAAAGCAGACAATTTCAAGAAAAGCAGTTAACAATTTTTTTTTTTTCGGTTAAGCATCGGGGTAACCCGACAAGTCTTGAATGCACAGAGAAAGTTACGGTGCTCAAGAAACCAGACGTCTTTAGGCAACTAGACATTCATGAATATGCAACATACCAGATGGATGAGCGTGAGGACAGGCTCACCAATCTTGTTCATGTTCTGAATAAATGTTCATTTTCTGAACTGTTTGTGGTATTAAGATTGACCGGATTGGATCAGTTGCGCTTTTTTGGAATGCCTTTTTTGGTGGAGTACTTGAGGCGGGCCAGACACACCTCTGCTCTACAGTATTGCGCTAAATTAAAACATACGGTAACCACAGAAATAGTTAAATGTCCATCCTGATTTCATGCTTTAATTCACCATCTATCTCCTTGTCATGGGTGTGCCTTGGCCAACAAAGAACAGTACAAAAGCTATGCATGTTTAGACACAAAAAAGATGGACACGACTGCGCAGTAAGCTGCTGAATTATTCGTCTTTTTTTTTTGAAGAGGATAAAGAATCTATGCCCTAGAGTATTGCTGAATTGTCTATCCGCATCTGCTGCTGTACTGTTCCTGTTGCTTAATGGGTGAAAGCAAGCACAATGCTTCAGTTTTCATACACAAACTCGGTTTTAGTCAGACTTTGGAAGGAAAGAACTTTAGGACGCATTTAGTGCGAAAAAAAGAGGTTCTGACAGTAAATCTGGTTGGAATAAAAACAAAAGGAGCAACCAGCCTTGTCACGTCCAAATAAACTGTTCCGGAGGTAAAATATGGTCAGGAAGTGACTTATCTTGTTATTCTGGATTGGATGGCAGCGATGTTACAAAATGGTTTATTGAGCCCAAACGATGACGCAATCAGGCAGCAGAGTGGATGCTCTGGAGTGTATTGAGGACTATGGCTGATGAAAGCTAGAGGATGCAACTTGCATGTTTAACCAGCGTCAATAAAAAAACAACACCTTTTTCTTTTTTTTTTTCAGTTTCCAGCTACAGACCGACATCCATATCCTCACCTCATGAGTGTGGAACTGCTCCTTGACCTCCTCCACATTGTTTGAGATGGGGGGCTGGGACTGGAGTCCGTCTTCAGCCGAGAGCAGCCAGGTCAGAACCTTGACAATCGCGGTTGGGAAAAAAAAATCATGAAAAAAAAAAACAACAACATTGAAAGAACAAAGCCGATCACTTTCATTCAACGTACCTCCTCCAGGGCCGCTTGGTAAGACTCCAGACTGGCGGAGCCGGGAGGCAGAGGACTGAGGCTTCGCTGCAGCTCTTCTTGGCTGGGGGTCAGAAACTGGAGGGCGGTGCGGGGGCAGGCGGCAGAAGGTGGCGAAGGATAACAGGGAGACGATCGGATGCAGATAAAAAGGGGAGACAAACAGCAGGACACAACAGGAAAGAGAAAAGAGACGCGTTGAATTCCAAATCGGGTTTGACTCAGAAGCTGCCTGTGGATGCGAAGCCGTGCAGGGGCTGGGGATGAAATACAAAAAGTCATGCGTAGAGTAGGACTGCGACAGTCATCGCCGACCCATTCCGCATGAGAAGCACTTTGTTCTTTGAAGTTAAAATCTGTTAAGGAACGGTGCCGCAATCGATGCTCTTTCGATATCGCCTTCAAGACGGCACAATGTGGATAAATCACCGCCCTGCCTTTGAAACGTAAAAAATGGGCACCAGGAGAAAATTATTCCACTCATGTCCATTTCTTAGCAGGAATTAAACTCGCTGATTGCTTTCTTGAAAAATAGTCACGAAATATAGCAACAACTCGCTAAGTTGGCAACACTTAAATGGATTGCTTTTTTTTTTTTTTGGTCACTGTTATTCTGTCTACAACCAGAATCAACTTACGAGCATGATCATTAGAGACACTTAATTTCGTTGAGAGTGAGCAATTTACCACACAAATCAAGCATTCGCAAGAATGCGATTTCACAGAAATGCTTAATACTTGATAACGTGCACAAAAACGTGACTATTTTCTTTTTCTGTTGAACCAAAACATTTGTGACGTGACGTATAACATCATTCTTGTGAATACTACAAACTGCAATACAAACGTGAGGTGGCGCTTTGGGGCACAGTAAATGATTTTCTGGTAGCCATAGCAACCGTGTTACTTCTACACAGTATAGCGAATATCAACCCTCCGCTAAGCAACACACTTTCCGAAACGACTTGCTTCCCGCCCTCCCCGATGAAGACAAACATATTTTTAAATATCACGAAATCATGCCATGTAGTCAGAAGTTAGTTCCTCTTGAGCAAACAAGACTAAATGCATACCTGTCAACTCATACGGTTTAGCCATATTTTATCCGGATTTTGTGGTGAATCTTACGTATATGGCCATATCGCACAAATCATACGGATTCTGAAAATTTCCGTTTTTGTTTTTTTTTTTCCCCTAACAGGTAGTTCCGTTTGCTTTTGCCCAGAATGGTGCTCGTCTACAGCATTATTGCAGTGCAAAGTAAATATGAATGGATGCTGTAACTTCGAGCCAAAGTAAAAAGAAAGGGATGCTGTAACTTCGAGCCGATGGGTCAGCATTTGGAGTTGGTGAAAAAAGTAATGCAGGAATACAACTCTGAACACAGTAATGCCACGAAGTAGAATGATGATTAGACATTCACCTGCCATTGTATTATGGAGATCTACAATAAATATCATTAAAAATTTCGTGGGTTTTTTTCTGCCGTTATTTTGACATATAAAATGCTTTGGTATGTTATAAGGATTTTTTGCTCTTTATAAGGATTTTTTTGGTAGTTTATATGGGTTGGCGCTCCGAAAGGTTGACAGGTATGTAAATGTCATGATGTTATCATTGTTCAGTGAGGCTCAATTACTGTAATATCCCCAAAAATGTACACCTTTTTTTCTGATTTGGTGCAACATGCGCACAAACTATGGAGCCCAAATATGTCCAGATCCTAACTGCTTCTTTGGTATGGCCCCCCCCCCCCAAAAAAAAATCATTACAATGTAACTGCATGATGTCCCCTTGGAGTTTTGACCTTTGAGACAAAAAAAAAAAGCCCAAAGATAAGCAGTGACTTATTGACTGTACAGACCTGAAATGAACAGAGACTGTCAAGAACACACCAACTAACTACATGGAGTTGCTTATTAGCATGAGTGCACTCGGCAAAAAAAAAAACATACAGTCTGTTTTGACATCGACTTTGCTGATGAACGTTTTTTAAACACAACCAAATAAAAACACAGACAGATGGACATGCGGTATGAGGTGTTAGCGTGTGGAGACACGGACCTGATCAGTAAAGCGCCTCCTCTTTTGCTCAGGAGACTTGACATAGGCCGCCTGCGTGTAGGCATAGCTTTTATAGCGAGGCTGAGCGGAGGGGCTCTGCACTCGGCCCTGAGCCACGCTCACTGTGATCTGAGAGCCAGACAGAGGACACGGTTGGACGGATACAGGTCGGTAAAGGCAGAGAGGTGGAAGAACGCACAACACGAAAAGACACGTTGGAGGAAGGGGGGAGGGGGGGGTTACAAGAAAGTGCACAAAAGACAAGAGAAAAGAACAGAAAAAAAAATGAAAAAACGAATAACAGGACATCAGCTCTGATTCTGATCTGAATGTTGACCCGTTTAGAAGTGAAAAGAACTCGGGAGCGGTCTTTGCCTCCAACTTTCCGCATCGTAGTAAGAAGCTTATGAAAGCTAAGAAAACAAGTTTGATGAGAGCACGGTTAGCATGCGCTGCAGTTCTTCTTTGTCTGGAATATCCACATTTTGGTCGCGCTCAGCGGTTGCTCCATTTCTCCAATAAACAAATCAGTGCGTTGTGTTGGCTGAAAATCCTTTTGCGGTTGTCACGTAGACCGGACACATACGGCAATGACAATATTGTTGCGTCTGTCCCGAGCGCTTTTCTTTCTCATGCACTTTGCTCTTGTCCCTTCTGGAACTGGAGGCACTTTTCACAACTGACCGTCTGTGGTAACTTTCACGTTTTGATGGCCTTTTATCGGGGGTCATTGCTCTTTTTTGTTGGCCTGTTCTCTCTTGGCCGGTTGGAACATTGTCAGCACTGTTTTGTACGGTTCTGATCACGCCCAGTTGGGTGTTTCAGTGGGCGGTGGGAGTCATGGGTATTGGTTAGAGAGTACGGGTTTTCTGTATACCCTAACACGGAGGCATCCGCCGTCCAAATATTCGCAGATGAGATCCGTCACAGCTCGAAATACAGCAGGCAAAATTTATGATACGTAATCTAAATTTACGCTGCTAGCGTTTTAATTAATTCTTGTATTTTTATCATGCGCTGCTCTACTGTCAAACGTACGCCGCTGCGACATCGCTGCTGGAGTAGTTGTTCCTTTCAAACGGTCGTGGTACAGCTGGCGAAAGTCAAGCCTCTCCTTTCTCAAGAGCACTTTGAAACGGTCATTCATGCCTTTGTCACATTCCGGCTGGATTACTGCAATGCCCTTTACTTTGGAGTCAGCCGATCCTCCATCAAGCGTTTCCAGTTGGTCCACAATGCCGCTGCTCGTCTCTTGACTGGTACTCGTAAGAGGGAGCACATAACACCTACTCTGGCATCCCTTCACTGGCTCCCTCTGCATTTTAGAGTTCTTTTTAAAGATTCCATTATTTGTTTTCAAATCTTTAAATGCCCCTTGCATCTGTCTGGTGCCTCAGGTCTGTGGACCAGACACTAGCAGGGGTACCGAGGACAATATTCTCTCTTTGAAATGACTTCCCACTGAACACTGCCCATCTTTAAAACTCATTTTTTTATTCTCTGGCTCTGAACTCAGTATGTGACTTGATTTTTAGTTATTATTTTTTTGTATTAACTGTTTTGTGCTTTCTACTGTCTCTGTTATCAATTAATTTTTTTATTGTTTGTCATTGTAGGAATTATTTTTGCTCCATGTACAGCACTCTGTACACAGTGTGGTTGTTTTAAAGTGCTCTAGAAATACACTTGAGCTGAGATAACAGTACAACAAATTTGATCCTTGCTCAAATGTCTGCGAACAAACCCCTTACTGAGAATTTTGTTTGCAATGGGTGAGGATGACGGAGTCGTTGGGCAAACAGTTTAAGCTAAATTCGCGACTATAATGACGCGATCTGTTGCAAAGTGACACACAGCAATGGCCATTTCAGCCACTCACCGTTTTATGGAATGTAAAAGTATCCCTCGCATTACATTTAGTCATTTTTCTGGCAGTTAAAGCGCTCATGCTTTTCTTTCTCTTCATTTTGAAAGGAGCAGGAGGCGAACCGGAAACTCGTTTAACCATTTGGTTCTTTTGATGACTGGCGAGATTGGATCAGTCCATCACACAGAATTGCAGCACATGCTAGTCACGCTATCATCAAACTTGTTTTGCCAGCATCCATAGCGCTGTTGCTGTTCTTTGGAAAGTTGGAGGCAAAACCATAACCAAGTTCCAGTTCATCACTAATTACAGATGCTGAGTGAAAATATCTACATTCAGTCAATGTCTTGAAAGGAGATTGCTGAGATAATGATACACTGCTGGTTAATGACCAGGCTGAGGCGAAGAGGCAATTTGCTATGCTTAATTGAACTTATTTCAGCCAGCACTAATGGATTCACACTGCATGTGTGTTTTGCCTTTTCCTTTTGGCTTTTTGAGACGGTTTCTTTTTTCAGAACTTCAGCACTTCTATTGTGTTGGCTTGATCAGGTGCCGACTAATCAGTAAGCTTGCAAATCCAAATTGTTTCACTTCACCATCTACTGTACTCCACAAACAAGGTTGTCAGATGACCCGTGAGAGCGTTTTATTTTTCACCCTCTCTGATTGCACCTCTGGAGTTATGACTCAACTCCCCAATCTTGTCTACACTGTCGCCTGCGTGCTGTCTTTCTTTTTCACCTGCCACACTTTGTCTGTCTCTGTTCTATTGCCACAAACCGCCAAGACCCTACAGTTGGCCCCTGGCTAACCTGCAAAGAACGCTTGATTGCTGTAACCTGCAGAGGTTATAGTGGCACCTTCGAGGCCATGCTCTTGAAAATACTTGTGTCTCAAATCCTCTCTCTCCATTGAAATCAGTGGGAATACCATTAATCCGTTCCGCCCTGTGAAATAAACATGTTTGTTATGTTTTAAATGAGGAGAACAACCCTCAAAAAATGGTACTTTATGAATACATGGAAGTAAGGGCATGATAAAATAAAATGTCAAGAAATTAAGTCTTTTTTTTCCTACAGTTTTGCTTGAATTCAATTCGTTGTGTTGCTTGAGATGTATGTGTCTTGGCCAGCTGGGGGCAGGATAATACAGACATCCAAATATGAGGACACGGGCTCAGCTCCTCTGTCAGTCGCTATAATATTCGTTTTTCTTTGTAGAGGAAAAAGAATATATGTCTGTAAATTGTGCGTAAATATCCGTTGCTTAAAGGTTTATAACACCGCAGCAGCAATGCTATTGGTAAATCAGTCTATTATGTGTTAGCATTATGCTAGCAGACAATGGACTGTGGTTGTTCTAAATATACAACGTAGAATTCTCTTTGTTTTATATTTAGTCTGACAGTAAACTTCGACTGGATGGAAGCCTCTTTTTTGAATAATTGTTGACGGTGTGAGAAGTTGCTGCTTGTTGGGAAGTCAGTTCAGTTCATTTCCACCATACAATGCTTGCGTCAAAAACACTCTTCTCTCGAGGCACCACCGTATTGCAAAACGAAAAGGCTGACCAAGCAGTTAGTATAACCCTTAAAATCTGAAATCCACGTCCCGTTCACATCCGAGGCGTTGATGCAAGGAGACGGTGACAGCTTCGCTCTGATGATGACATATGAGGGGGAAGGTAGAACAGAACAGAACAGTAACCCTTGTTTTTTTTTTTTTTTGGTTTCTCCTCCCTCGCCAACAATTTTATTGAGTAATTGTCTGCGCCAAGTCTTCATGTCTGCACTCGATATCTTAATTCACCATACAGGCTCTCGAAGTTGACACCTTTTTTTTTATCCCCCTCTGCAAGAGCCTGCGCAAAGGGCTGATGCAGCCTTTAAACTGAACTAATAATTTTGTATTACCAGCCATTACTTCCAGGAACTAGTCTAAATCCTGCCATGATTCAGTGTGATAGTGGGACACTGACCTCAGCATTACCGAGCAGTAAAGGTCACAGGCGGTGAATCCAATTTGCCGGTGGAAAATCTGTTCTCACCTCACGGCAGCGTCTCCATTCTGAGATTCCGTTTCAATTTGCAGTTAATGTTCAGTGCTCATTGGACACCTGATCATTCCACGTCCCAAAAGTAAAACGATTGATAGAATTGTTCCCCGCTTTGCATCACAACAAACTCTTCTGGGAAAGGCTTCCTCCATGACATTACCACTATGTACGAGGTCAAAGGTCACTGATGTCGGACCAAAGAAGACCTGGCTTTCCATCTCCATTCTAGCTCATGGCTAAAGATGCTTACTGGGCTTTGTCGGCGGCGATCACATTCTGCCACGCCAAACTCGTACTCATTACAGAGTACGAAAAAAAATTTTTCGATTGTCCTACGACATGATAATGATCCATCCAAAATAAACGCAACTGAATGTCCTGCGTAAAGTCGCCGCCTTGAATCCCCTCAAGAATCTTTTGGGAGAATTGAAGACCAAGGTCCGTGGCAGAATATTGTCAAATCTGGCGGATCTTGAAAGGTTTGCAAAGAAGAATGGGCTGGGATTGCTCAGGAGATACATGTGAGACCGGCAGCGTAGCCACAAGTTTTCCAGTGGGGTCGCCGCCAGGGTGACGCAACACTTGAGTGAGGGGTAGCCATGGGTGCCTCCGTCATTCTTTATCATACCATCCAGTCAGATATTCATGAACTAAAATTCATGCATATCCAGAACAATGCCCATTCACACCCATATAATCAAGCAGGAACAAATCAAAGTAAAAAAAATAAAATAATTTGCAGAGTATACATTACTTTATAACTCAACACAACTGTATTTATAGAGCACTTTAAAACAACCAAAACACAATTTTCTTTGCAGTTGCTTTGCGTTTGTGTACAATCACATCGTCAACTTCAATCTCATGCACTGATTCGCTAGCTAACAGCCAATCAGAGTGACCAATCGTTACAAACGGCCGATGTCGTTTGGCACACTACGATGAGTAGCTAATCATACTTAAAAAGCACATTGACACAATCGTCACTTCATTGTCACCAATTCAAGATTTTGCTTTTTACTTGCTCCTGTTTGCAGTGTGTGTGTGTGTGTGTGTGTGTGTGTGTGTGTGTGTGTGTGTGTGTGTGTGTGTGTGTGTGTGTGTGTGTGCGCACGTTCAGGTCAATTGTACATTTAGTTTTCAATTATCCTGTTCATATTTTTAAAAACAAACTAGCACCCTCCAATTGATTTCGCATCACGTCAACATTATTCACCTAAAGGGGCACGTCTCAACAGTTGAGGATACGTTTGAGAATCCAAGCGAGAACCCGTCGCACTCTTTAAGGGACACTAAACAATTTTAAGAGATAATTCACTGGAAAAAGTTTGACCTCAGATGGCATAACTGCAGCAAGGGGGCGGAAAGAAGCAGCATCGGTGATAGATTTTTATTTTAAGTTGAGGCCTTAATTAAAGCTCAACAAGAGGGATCCTCTCACGCCTTTAATCCCCCCAATCAATTTTCTCATCAGCTTCACGGCCAAATCAGGCTCGATGTCTTTTGCGAGCTGCACACTTGTCACTCTGCTGACAGTTGGATTTCTATCTGGGCCGGAGGAGACAATCCGCATGAGGGCTGCGTCGCCGCCTCGTCTGAAAAATTCCTCGACAAATTTCAAGGGTCTTGATGAGCGCCGAGTGAATAAAATGTGAATGGAGAGATCCCCTTGAAAATGTAATGTGCCTCCCGCTTGGCCGAAATGAGTTTGTCTAATCCTGCTCACAGACAGAAAACAAACAATCGCATCATCTCCTTGGCAGAAAACGGCACGGCCAACACAATGATTTGGCTGTACTGCAGCGTAGCATGCGACAAAAGAGCTGTCCCAAAACATTGAAATCGTAATTAAAAAGCTTTTGGCTTCTATAAGACCGTTTGCTGGAAGCGCAAAGACCCTTTTGCGCCCTTTTTACACGAACGTCGTACATTGAAGTTAGAGATTCCACAGCGGTACAATTTGGTTCCAGGGGTGCCCATTACATCGATCGTGATCGATCAGTAGCTCAGGGACTGGTCCCAAATCCATCCGAGGGGTGTAGAGGAAAAAAAAAACCCCAAACAAACAAACATTTGTGTTTTTGTGCATGTTAGTAATATATTTTTTGTGTTAATGCACACTGCACCCTAATAATTTTATCCGTCTCACTTTCACAAAAAGTATTTAAAAAAGAAACTAAAATAAAGCGGGTCATCTTTAATCTCTATGGTGGCGTGTGACTGCGTCCCCGGAAGTGGTTAGCGCTCAGCAGTTGCAGCTTGTGCTCAGAGTTGTTGCGCTAATCTTTTATCGTTATCATTATTCTCATTCAGAGTTTGTTTTGTACAATTCACCGAGGGGACGGCCAAAGAATGGGAATCTGGAGGGCTGAGAGAAAAATTTTATAACGGTACGCGTGAGCTACGATCGTTAACAGGCTGCAAAAGTGCCTCGCATGCCTCAGCGTCAGGCTGGCTGGCTCATCATGGCATGCGTGTGTACGTGCGTGCGCAACCGGGAGGTTGGTTGATCGAAAAGTAGATCTTCGGTCAAAAAGGTTTGGGCACCCCTTTGCAGGACCACCACACCCAAAGGGCAAAGCGAGACACACACCGTTGATTGTGATTGACTTATCAAAAAAAAAAAAAAAATCACAAAAAAAAAAAAAAAATGCCACAATAGAAATAGAATGGGAAGAATACCGATTGATTTTTCTGCAACAGAGTCGAAAAATCAATCTTTTTTCATTCCAAATATAATTAGCCACAAGCCATGAAGAGCACATAATGCTGACATTGTTGTCCATTGTTTACAGAGGACAAGAAACGTCTGTGTTTGACCTTGCCGCAGACATAACTATAATGTGGTACACAATTTACAGATGGGAAATGGGCTGTCGCTTAAACCTGTAGAGCACTTTTCTCCCTTCGGCACTCAAAGCGCTTCACCTACTGATGACGCAGAATCGGGAACAACTGGGGAAGGTTCAGTACCTTGCTCAAGGACACATCGACCGGCTCACAATGGCCGGGGATTGAACCCCCAACGTCTGGGTTGGGAGACGACCCACTCTACCACTGAGCCACATCGCCCCCAACGTTTTTGTAGTCAGTGTAGAGCTTGCGTTACAGTCGAAATGTGCTCGACGCGCGTCGAGGGATGGAACGAATCGGTTATGTCTACGTTATAACGGTAGTTCGTTGAGCCCCTTTCCAATAAAATGGCCGCCAACTACGACGTCAAATAACAGTCTGAACATTGATAGATGTCAAAACATGAACATGTAACACAGTCTAAACATATCAACTACAATTAAGTGCATATGAAGAAAAAAAAGTTTGATAAGACATGAAACAAATAACATCTCTGAAAACATTCAGTGAGCAAACGTTTCTCCAGACTGACTTTTTAAATAAGCTGAGAACAAAGGTGATGGACTAGCAAAGCCTGTGTCCAGACCAAAACTCCTTTGAGCATTTGTGGGACATCCTGAAACAAAAGGAGGGGGGGCCTGTGTGTGTACGTGTGCGTGTGTGCGTGCCAGACCTGTTGGGAGAAGCGCTGTTGGGTCTGGATCTGGTAGTGATCCCCAGCCAGGACATGGGAAGTGCTGGCAGCGCTGGCGGGCCGCGGTAGCGTCTCCACTTCCTGGATGGCCTCCATGGTAACGCTCTGCGGGAGCACCTGGAAGAGCGACGTCACGTACATGATGACGCTCTTCTTGTCGGGACGAGGCACCGCCACATCTGAATAATGACAAGTGAGAGGACATTGATATTATGTTGCATTTTTGGAGGATAAATTATTTTTTTTTTCCAATACATCCTGCCCTCCCGTCTCGCCTCCCTGCATCCTTGCACGTGGGTCCTCAACCATGCCGCTACGTGACATTAACTCTCTTTTGAAATTGCATTTGTCCTCGGAAAGCTTTTCGGTTCTTTACTTGAGTATCCTAATTGCCTGAATCACTTTGATTCTTTCCTCTTTCATCTAGAACTGCTTCAAACAACAAAGAGCTCGATGTTGCACATGGAGCATTTTTGACAATAAAGTTGACTTGACTTGTCTTAAGGTCAGCCCTTTTTTTTTTTTTTTTTTTTTGTGATGCCTTTTTTTTTCGAGGCACCGCCACATCTGAATAACGACAAGTGAGAGGACATTGATATTATGTTGCATTTTTGGAGGATAAATTCTTTTTTTTTTTTTCAATACATCCTGCCCTCCCGTCTCGCCTCCCTGCATCCTTGCACTTGGGTCCTCAACCATGCCGCTTCGTGACATTAACTCCCATTTGAAATTGCATTTGTCCGCGGAAAGCTTTTCGGTTCTTTACTTGAGTATCCTAATTGCCTGAATCACTTTGATTCTTTCCTCTTTCATCTAGAACTGCTTCAAACAACAAAGAGCTCGATGTTGCACATGGAGCATTTTTGACAATAAAGTTGACTTGACTTGTCTTAAGGTCAGCCCTTATTTTTTTTTTTTTTTGTGATGCCTTTTTTTTCCACAGTTTCAATGCAAATCATCAAACCAAAATGGAAACTCTGGTGTAAGGATAAGCTTTGAAGCACGGCCCTCGTTTTTATGACTTTTCCTTCTAATATTTCTGTCCCCTTCTATTCCACTCAGTTTGTTGGCTAGACTGTTGAAATGACACAAGTTTGTGCACTTGGTTGGCAAATTCTTTTGTGTTGATCAGAAATGATCAGAGTTGGAAGCCGCTGCTGCCGCAGAGAGGGGATGCAATTTTAAACCTTGTTTGTTAAGGAAACAAGGTTTTTTTTTTTTCACGTCAAGGGGCAATTGTTATTTGCAGTGGGAAAACAATTTTGACTCCTTGTGTTAAAATGTTGACCCAAACCCACTGGGTCAAATCTTCAACCCAATGCACTGCCGATCAATAGCGCAGCATTGGCACAGTGCCTTTTGGATCCAGCGGTGGGTTCGCTATCTCACTCCATTTTTGTTTTTGTTTTTTTTAAGCCAACAGTTTTCAAAGGGACAGGTGTAAGACATGAGCGGAAACTCAATTTAAAATTACCATCGAAGAAAAATCAGCAGCGAGTCAATGTTGCTAGATTTGAGGAAATATTGCCAGTGCGTGTTTGCAGTCGTTCCAGTCACCTTCTGGGTCCAGCAGTCTGTCGATGCCCAGATGTTGCTCCGCCTTACTAAAAGCATGTTCCAGTCTGTCAGCCGCCGACTCCTTGGCCTCCACAGAGCTCCAATCAAACAGTTCTGGTCTTGAGTTGGAGGGGGAAGGAAACAATGAATCATGATATTTGATTTAAAATCATCCGCTTTAGTTTTAGGAATTCTATCGTGCGTGTGTGACAGAACTGAATAAGATGAACCAGAAATACAGGTACACGGTACTGGGGCTAACATGCAAAACAACTGCCCTTAAAACCCGCTCATTTGAAAAGCGAGTGCATTAAAAATAAGTGCAAACTCGGACATTCGACAGTACCTGTGGCTGTGGATGAGGGCATTGAACGCCAGGCCGTCATTCCAGCTACTGGAGAAGTTGACCACGTTGACCTGCGGACACACGCAATGGATGAGGATGAGGAGGAACTCACCTCATTTGTGAGACGTGTTTGCCAAGTGGTGCAAAACAAGGAAGGGGGGCAGAAATATTGGAAAGTATACGTCACATTTCAGCTCATGCTACATTTGCTAACTGCAAAGCGAGTACTGTATTTTCCACACTAAAAGGCACACCGGATTATGAGGCGCACCTTCAATGAATGGCCTATTTTGTCATTTTTTTCATACATTGGGCGCACCGCTTTATAAGACGCAATCTACAACGCATCCACTAGATGGAGCTCCACTCAAGGAAACGCCAACAGAACGATCAGATGTCAGTAAAACCTATTGAATAAAGCAGCGACACCGTTCACAGATGTCAGTAAAGCCTATTGAATAAACCAGCGACACCGTTCACTTAATCAACAGCAAGTTATAACATTGACTCGTTCACGTTAAACTCTCTTGCCGCTGCTCGATTTCCGTGTTCAACTGCGTAAGCCGATCACCTTAAGTTTGAACTCTGTGTTGTCAGCATGTCTCGAGCAAGGAGCCATTTTGGTGTCGAAATGTTACTGTAATGATCATACGCAAGGCGCATCAGATTTTAAGGCGCGCTGTGAGCTTTTAAGAAAGTGCAAGGCTTTTAGGTGCGCCTTTTAGTGCGGAAAATACGGTAGCTGATTCGCAAATGGGGTGTCAATGATCAAATTCGTTTCATTAACGTGTGACTGTTGAATAATATGAATGGACAAGACATTGTTGATAAAAACTGAGATTAGCACGACAAAAACAAAAGAATAAACAAGAATGACCGCCAGTTTAGCGCGAACCCTCGGAATCCGAAGAAAACATTTCGCAGCCTTTGGCTTTTTCGCAGAACCGAGCGTAAGCGATTCTGCCGTAACTGCGCGATTGAATGATACTGACCTGCGGGTACTGGCTTGTGTTCTGCCGAACCCAGCTCAGCAGAATCTTCTCACTGTTGGTCTGCTGTAGGTCCGCCATCACCTCCTTCATGACATCCTTTACCTGAAAACGCACAAAGACAATGAAAGGGTTAACGACACTCACCGGCCAATTCATTTGGGACAGGTGATGAGCTGCATCCAAAATTCGACATTCACGACGAACGCACGGCTCATCCACCACCTCTGATAGTTCCGAACTTCAATGACAACGTTGTATTTCTAACTTCTACCATCAAAAACGACATCGACCCGAGAAGCAGCTATTCAAAACAATGCACTTTCCCCCTTTATTTACTGAAAATACATTTAACGTCGAACACAACTGAGGAGTGCATGTTGGCGCAGCCCTCGACAACCATTCCAGTTTCTCACATGGCCTGCTGGAAAAATTAATTGCCCACCCCTGGTATGCTGTTTCAACTCATCTTGACTCTGGAGCCGGATTAGACGGCGGGGGAGGATGCCAGACAAACCTGGCAGGCCCAAGAGCAAAGTGAGGGGGTGCAACGGCAACGTCTGGCAGTGTTTCCTACCGAGTCTTCAAACTCCACACCTCCAATATCACTTTGCATCCGTCCTGAAGGGGGCCGTGGACTCGGAATATCAGTTCTCTGCTAATTGCTGTGCCTCGTACAACCTTTTTACTTCACTACTTTCATGGGAGGATTTGAGTGAAAAAAGTCTCGTTTCGAATCCAAGGATCACAAGCTATTCCGAACGATGTCAAAACATGTTAGCATCAAAGGTTGTCAACAGCTGACACTGTAACGCGTGAATTCAAGCGCTCATGACTAAACAGTCGATGAGGTCTCATATTCACAGGAGAAACCCTGACCAAACACACAATATTTCATTCATGCACATTGGGGCGTTCATTCTGGTGTGTGTTTCATGGCCACTAGGGGGCAATAAAAGGCTTCTCAAGTGTGCCAGTACCAGCAGCTGTTCTTTGCAGAAGAGAAAGAATATATGTGTTGTGATATCACACTGCTCAAAACAGATTTTTTTCATTCCAGATGCAGCTAAGCTTTTCCCCTCGTTTTCCCCCCAAGCATATTAGGTTTTCAGAATAAGAAATATAATCTTAATCATCATAATAAATCTTTTTTTTTCTGAAATGTTATAGCCATAAACTTGCACGCGTGGTAAAATCCGTATTGTGCAAGCTTAAAAAAAAAGGGGGCCGTGGACTCGGAATATCAGTTCTCTGCTGATTGCTGTGCCTCGTACAACCTTTTTACTTCACAACTTTCATGGGAGGATTTGAGTGAAAAGTGTCTCGTTTCGAATCCAAGGATCACAAGCTATTCCGAACGATGTCAAAACATGTTAGCATCAAAGGTTGTCAACAGCTGACACTGTAACGCGTGAATTCAAGCGCTCATGACTAAACAGTCGATGAGGTCTCATATTCACAGGAGAAACCCTGACCAAACACACAATATTTCATTCATGCACATTGGGGCGTTCATTCTGGTGTGTGTTTCATGGCCACTAGGGGGCAATAAAAGGCTTCTCAAGTGTGCCAGTACCAGCAGCTGTTCTTTGCAGAAGAGAAAGAATATATGTGTTGTGATATCACACTGCTCAAAACAGATTTTTTTCATTCCAGATGCAGCTAAGCTTTTCCCCTCGTTTTCCCCCCAAGCATATTAGGTTTTCAGAATAAGAAATATAATCTTAATCATCATAATAAATCTTTTTTTTTCTGAAATGTTATAGCCATAAACTTGCACGCGTGGTAAAATCCGTATTGTGCAAGCTTAAAAAAAAAAAAAGAATTAAAAACCTGATTTAGGAGGGGGAAAAAAAAGTAAAAACATCAGAAATACATTTAAGGGACACATAAAGCCACCATCTCTCTTTCGAATTTGCTGTCGACCAGCGTTATCTTACGACATGCGTTGCTCTATCTTTTGTGTTCAGGTAAAAATTGCTGAAAGGGTAACAACACTGCCACACAGATGCTAATTGTTTGTCCAGGGTGTGATGAAGTAAGATGAGTCACCTGCCACCTTCTTTTTACCTTTTTTTTTTGCTTCTTATGCAGTGTCGTGGCATTGACAAAATACCGTGTAGGTTTACATTTATGTATGTCATTATTTGTGCAAAAAGTAAAGGAAATAAAACACTGTGGCGGTGTACGTCATTTGTGCATGCATGCAGCTACTCTAAATGTGTGTGTGGTTAGCTTGCTGCAAGTGACATATTTGGGTCACTTGTTGAGGACCAAGGAGGAGGTGTTGTATTTTTCACTGGCCAGAAGTGTTTTTGGTTCTACACAATCTTTCTTCGGGCAACTGTGTATGTGCACTGACACTAACGCTGAAGGAGTGTAAAAACGGGAGAGAAAAAAAAAACAAGACAAATGTTATTACTCAATGTTATGCCGTATGCCCCCTCCCTCATTTCCTCAGCACCCCAAACAACTAAATCTATGAATAGTTTTCAGTCAAGGGTCTCCCTGACACAATCCAACACAATTGGGTGCACACACAGTTTGTTAGCCACTCTCCAATGAACGTGCGCTGGAAAGGCAAAAAAAAAAAAAAAGGGGAATGGGTGCTCATTTGGGAGTAGGTCACTGCATGCATTTCCACTTTAAGAGGAGGGGTGCTTTGACAAACGCCGCCATCGCGTATACGCTGTATACCGAACAGATAATTCGTCATTTATAACTGAAGCAGGAAACAAATTCTCAAGCACACACGTACACACCTGCCAGTGGAGAATGATGCTCCAGATGAGGCCAAGAATGAGCTTGTGATTGCCATCGACGATATCCGTCGCACCAATGTTCACCAACTCAACCTACGCAAAGGTGAAATAATGACTTGAATCGCAGAGCAGATTTCAAGAAACAACCATAACCAGGCACGAAGGACAATTAGCAGTTTTCACTTCACTTAAAATGAATATTTTGGGAGTACGGGAGGAAACCCACACCGGCACAGGGAATACATGCAAACTCCACACAGTGGAGTCTGTGGTGAGATTTGAACATCGAACAAATCTACTGTCACTTCAGATACGTGAAATGAAGTATTTACTGTTCATCTAAATCATAGAATATTAAAGCTGGAGTCATCACCTCCTCTGGTTCATGGCTGACAATTTGGCTTAAATGCTCATCAGCATGTGTGCCGATAGCCGTGCAGTACATGCTAAGATTGAACACTTTTGAAAAACAATGTAATTACACTCCACCCGCCCCCGATATTGTGATTCGACTTGACACCGATCTGATCGAGTGGAAAAAAAGATAATCTATTTCGCGTCTCAGGGGCGGAAAATGTTGACGCTAGAAGGCGGAAGTTCCGCCTTTGCGCCCTTGACCATCAAATCACAAAGTAAGTGTTCGTATACTTTTTCAATTTGACGGGTGAAAAAGTCCCAAAACGATTTTACATATGGCAAAAAAAAAAAAAAAAACGAACAAGATACAGAATGTGTCTTATTCAATTTTAATTCCAAATAGCTTTCACCACTCAGCGTAAGTCACGTCGACTTTTGGCCACGCACATTCGGCCAATTACAGATGCAACCAGCGAACAAACCCGGAAATAGCTCCGTTGTTGACCGACGCACTAAACTTTTGCTCCAATGAGGATACGAGAGATACGGAGCTTTTCCTGCGACGCGATTACAGCAACACCGGAGCCAAACGGCTTTGCGAATCTGCTTATTACGGCACATGCATGCCAGGTAACAAGTAATCCTTGCGGTCTGTGGGCAGCTGAATTCGTACAACAGCGCCAGCTTCCAATACGAGCCAAACAGGAGCAGGCGTAGGCTACTTGGCGTAGCTGCTAACTAAACGTGTAGACTTGTTTACAGCTGTTGAACCGCCCACTCACTGATGTTCGTGCATTTGTTTTTTTTTTCCAATGCATTTTCGCTATGGGGGGGGATCGATTGTACAATAAATATACGACGTGTTTCATAGTGATATCGCCCCATCTTCTGATTGAATCAGTCATCGAGTATCATTTTTTTTCCCAAACGCGCTGATTGCTGATTAACCCCAAAAATCCTGATCGTGTAAAGACCAATTGTGATTGCAATTTAATATGTGATTTCTTTTTTTTTTTCAAGGTTCTCTTGCCATGTATCTTTGAACAAACACAAGCAATAACTTCATCTCCATGACAATAAACAATGCCAGATTTATTATACATAAATGTTTTGCTCACAAGGCTTAGGCTGACACTAAAATAAAGGAAAATGTACCGTTAATTAATATAAAAGAGTCGGTATATTTGTAGTTCTACCGCAGTTTTTAACTAACTAAACATTTTGAACTGCAGTCTTTTTTAATTGTACATTGTTGTAAATGTGGCATGAACTTTCAATCAGATGATGACAATAATGCAAACAAATCGGGCTTTATCGCGTCAACGTTTCATCAAACAACGATATTCAAACTGCACTTAGTGAACAGCTCTCATTTATTAAATATGATCATTTTAAATTTTGGTACAGATTTTAGGAAACATCATGGAAGTTGACATGCTTGATTGGCTTTCACGGGCCACATAAAATGATGTCGCGGGCCAGATTTGGCCCCCGGGCCTTGAGTTTGACACCTCTGATATAAATAAATACGCTATAATAAGAGACATATTTTTTTAAAAAGCCTACGAACCAACCAAAATGAATCCGTTTTTGTTTGTTTTTTAATCCAAATTGCAGCCTGTGCGATTTCAAAATTGCATTCTACATCACTGTGATATCGATTGGATTTTGCTTCCCTGTTCAACCCAGAGTACGAGCCCAAATTGTGGCACCAAAATCCACAGTAAAATGTCATGTTTCACTCCATGATTCTATTTATTTTCACAACCCTGCGGACAAAATAAAACATCTACTGCAGAGAGGCACAAGTCAAAGAATTTGGATACCTACATTATTCTTCTGCAAGATCTGCAGAGCTCGGTTGACATTGTTGAGCGAGTGGACGCGTGTGGTGCCCTTTTCCAACCTCACCTGCAAACACGTACACATCGGATTTGAGCCACCAGCACGGGGAACGCACGTTGACCTCTTCTCCGCATTTTGTTGGGATGATTCTACAGCGTGAAATGTTACCTGCTCATTTCCAACGAGACCCTGCAGCAGCTCTAACAAGCGTCGGCCGTCGCACAGGTCCGAGAAGAGATCCTCCACAGGTGGTTTCCCTGCCTGGAACACGCATGGGATCAGTGACATTCGGTGAAATGAAAGAACTATGAGGCGTTTACGACATGGTTCTGGTGATTTTATGAACTTTGAGGGTCGCAAGGATCACGAGCCGATGCCTGCCGACAGCGGTCTCGGAGCACACCGCACAGATATTCTCACTGTCGCTCGGTGTGAATTGTACCCACTCTGCCTGCATTGAAGTCGGACAAGTGAACCATCAGTGACCTTCAGGGATCAATGAAGTAAGATACCGAAATGAAAAGCACAGGTGTGGTTGCCGTGGTGACCCCCGTCCACAGTGATTTCCAACTTGAGTGGACTTGGCTAAGTTGAAAAGGAAAATTGGCTGATCAATAGTGTAACGTCTGTGTGATTGTAGAAACTTATGACCTTGATCATTTCTATTCATGGATGAGTGCAAACGAAGGGCCCATCGTTGTTCGTAAACGAGTGCTCGCAAACTCCGGCATCACAAAAGAGCAGGGTTGCATCTCAAGTCCGCTATTTGCAATCCTTCTCGCTCCTCGACGTTTCAGACTCAGAGGTCATACTCGTGCCACCTTCCCCTCAAGGATCTCTGACGACCTACCTGACTTTGTTTTTGTTGTTGTTTTACACCCGATTCGAACCCAAAGCTCAAAATAACTTTTTTTCTTTGCAGAGCAGTTTTGCTCATCAATGACTTCATCTCAAGAGCAATCATCCCGTTTTTGAGGAACAATTTTTTGCAGGTTAATCCGATGGGTTTTATTAAAAGTAAGATGACAATATCATGAATGATGTTTTATTATTTCTGAAATCAATATTTTCAGTTATTTGTTCTGTTGTATTTTTGTGAATGTTTCAGGTTATGTAAAGCGCTTTGTTACAACTGTCGCTGTTGTGAAAGAAGAACAACCTTTATTTGTCTCACAATGGACAAAATCACAATTTACAGCAGCAAAATTTTGAAAGAAAGTCGAAAAACAAAGTATGTGCATGCACAAAATACATTTTAAAAATGAACTGTACACAGTACAGAATGCAATATAAATATAAGATATAAGCAGATATGCAACGGCGTAGAGCCATAGAAAGAAATATTTTCAATTGTATTGTGCGTAGCAGAAAACTGCATTTTCTTGTTGACAAACGTTTTCAGTGGAGGCAATTTCAGATTTAAATTTTGTGTTTCTCAATGGGGTTGAATGGTCTTTTGGCAAAGCTGAATTGGAAAAAAAAAACAGATCTACTGTCATGTAATTGTGAGAACATTTGTTGTGCGGACCTCAAAAGTCAAAATCAAGACTCTTTTGTGAAAACAGACAACATTATTGATTTTAAAAATAGTTTGTAGTATTATAACACTTTGAATCTTATAAGCTGCTCTTCCTGGCTGATGTACGCCATAACACAATTAATTCCCCGTTTCTGTCCAATTCAGCTGTGTATCGCAGTGAATAAATCACTTTTTAAATTGCCTGCTATTTTGCTGTCCAAAGATGTAGACGCTCCGGTTTAACGCGGTTGGAGCCAGACTTCTGTGAAAAGGGCACTCGATCACCCAGGCATTTAATTGGGGTGTTTGACGATGACATGCCAAGCTTAGGTTAGGTTAGCCATTAGCATGATTTCTCCGAGACTCCTTGTCATCTGTTTGTGACGATACTGGGTCAGAAGTGTAGCATAATCGCCGCCACAGAGGCAACGATTACTGACATAGAAGCAATTGTGGACCAACTCTAGAATATCTTTCCCCGCACGAGTAGTTAGATGTAGCTTGTTGCTAGCTAGCTAATGCGGCGTCACTAACACCGGGTTTGGCTCAAACTCCAATTGCCCACACGTAGGTGATGTACGTGCAGCCCAGTAAAACTTTCTGGGGCTGCTTCAGGGAAAATAAAAATAAAAATCAGTGATTCTAAATTTTGCTATTCAATGTGTTTTTCCATCCATCCATTAATTTTCTGATCCGGCTTGCCCTCTGAAACAATGCAAAGTTAATTAATGATTGAACAACCATGCATTTTTTTTGTTTCCATGAGGAATTTAGAGGTAGGATGATTTTGCACGACGCCACAGATATTTTTGTACTGTGGAAGCAAACCGTCGTACCTGGAGTATACCCACGCAGAGCGGAGATTAAAACCTCCCTTTTTTTACTACTGTGTTGCCAGACTCAAGAGTTAATTGGCCTCGCACGGTGACTTTCATCTCGTCCTTTTATGTGCGTCTTGAACAAACAAATGGAATATACCGAGGCCGACCCAACTGTTCATTCCCTCAAGATGACTGCGCCACACGCCTGTATGCATCCTCCATGACATCTGAGTATTTGAGGATTCCTGCGGGAATTCCCCCCCACAGGCTGCTGCATCTCTCACGGCATCTCCTCCAGATGCGAGACACCGCGAGCGAGTACCCTCGGACACATTCTGACCACGGCACTGTTGTGCCATTCGAGATGCGCTGCACTACCTGAGCAAACTCGGGCTGCAGCCACCGAATATTTTTAGAATCGAGTGGGCCCGATCAATTATTCAATATGAATCTCAGTAAAATGGATTCCACATGATTAAACACAATAGTGTGCGAGTGAGGTGCATGTATTACATCGGCCGACTCGAGGTCGTTATCCTCCTATTCCACTGTCGTATCTGTGACGATGAGTGAGTGTGGCTTAAAAGGAGTGGCCTGGCCTGATGAGCGACATGGACGTCAGCAAATGAGAATCTGGAGTTGGCTGGCTGTGAGCTGGCTAACCCAGGAGTCGGAATCCCAAAATGTTGAAAGAGTCATGTTGGACCCAAAAAACAAATATGTCGGGAGCCGCAAAAAATTAAAAGCCTTATAATGAAGGTAACACATTCTGTATGTATCTATATTTGCTATATTAGCCGACTATCAAAGTGACTAAATTGCCTTTTATCGATCAACCAGCCTCCCGCGATTGACCCGTTACCGCACACCCACGCATACGCTCGCATTTACACCCGCATGCCAAAATGAGCAACAGCCATAACGGCCGCTAAGATGAACGAGGGACTCACTTTTACCGTTTAAAAACGCTTCTCTCGGCCCTCCGGATTCCCATTCTTTGCCAGTACCCTCAGTGATTTGTACATAAAATGCCTTTTTTTTTAAACAACAGCCACCTGCCTGGCATCGTGTCCTGCTAACAGAAACGTGTGTCGCAGGCTATCACGCAAATCTTTGTTGACAGAAGTGTTGAAATTTAATATTTATTCTACATATTTTTACAGCAGTCGAAAACGTTAAGAATGTTTGTATCATGTTTGGCCTCCTACAGAAACCATATTAAAAGATATTTCCCTCCCCCATCTTTTTCCTTTTTCAAGAATTTTTGAAAAAGCCCCAGACGAGCCACTATGGCGGCGCTAAAGAGCCGCATGCGGCTCCAGAGCCGCAGGTTGCCGACCCCCGGGCTAACCAGTCAGCCAGTCAGTCTGCGTGTTGAGTGACTCAGAGTGAGTTGAGACCATCGGCAGCTCATACAGGAAGGTGGATATACAAGGTGTGTCTATTCTTGACCATTTTTGGAGGAAAATGTATTCCTTTGAAGATTTGAAGTCGAGAAGTTATTTGTCTAATCGGTGCAGCCCAAGCACTGGAAACATGCTAACAAACTCACGAGGCAGGATTCAGTCAGAAATAATGAGTGGGGAAACAATCACATCCCTTCATAGGGATTCCACTCCACGCCATCTTTTGCACCACAGGAGATTAAATTTGGACAAGTTTGTATGCTGGAATGACGATATCTATTTTGCATTCTATTCTTTAATGGTGAAGCATGAAGTCCTCATCTGTCTTACCTTAGACAACTGTGAGTTGACCCATTTTGTGAACGTCTTCTTCTGCACATCTTCCCTTTCATCTGACAGTGAGAAAGACACAATCAAGTACAGAATCAGCGGGGATCGTAATAAGACAGTTAGAAATAGATACGTGGATATCGGCGCGGACGATACTCGCGCACACGGAGTTGCGCTCGGCATGACGGGCTTCTCCAATCAAGCTGCGGGTTAATTGCATTCTCATCTCATCAATCATCACAGTGCTAATGATAATTTTTGCCTGTCGGTGTCATCAACGCAGGACTCATCAAACTATGGTCCTCTTATGGATATGTTCTTGCAATTGTGGCCATTGAAAGATCAATACATTCGCAGTCTACAAAAAACTTTTTTTTTTGTAAAAAGAAAAACTATAGTTGCATTTCCATTTCCAAGCATCCATTCATTTATATTCCATACCGCCTGACCTGTCAAAGGTCATAGGCCAAGGGAGTCCATCCCAAGTGACTTTTTTATTTTATAGACAGATAGATAGATAGATAGATAGATAGATAGATAGATAGATAGATAGATAAAAAATAATTTCAGAATACAGTCACTAGACGTCTCCCGTCTGTCGCAAGTCAGTCTCGCACAGCCTGTCGCCACCCTAATGGAGCTCGGCAAAGTGTAAGCAGAAGTCCCGTGAGGGCAAACAAGAGATCCGTCTCTTTGGTCCTCGTGGCCCCACTGCAACTGTCACGTTTGTCACGGATTGGGCATCAGTTGCCTGGCAACGGTCACGGCCGTACGACACGGATGGAAATCATGAGACCAAAATCCAATCAGATGGGATTGTTACCGAGAGACGTGCTAGAGGTGGAAGTGGTGGGAAAGGGAGAGAGACAGAGAGGTGAAGAGGAAACAGGGGAATTGGGGTGGAAGACACATTTCCAAGCGGCATTCGGAATACGTTTCACCTTAATTTAACATTCTTGACATTCTTGGGAAGTTGCATGTGGGTTACGTGGCAACCCGGGGAAGCCTTCGTTGGGAGTTTATGCAATCGAATTTGGATCAATAATTACTTGTGAACAGAAACATCAACAACAATTTTATCAATAACATTTTTAACTGTCTTTGGTTGTCTTTATTTGTGGAGCAAAGGAAAAATGGAGATGCACACCAGTTTTAGTTCACAGGTCAGAGTTTCTGGTTTCCTGTTGTCCATTTTTGCTTTGTCAAGACTACGTTTACGATGTTAAAAAAAAAAAAAAAAAAGGAATGAATATATTAATATATTAAATGATATAATTCCTTGTGTGTCATACTGGTCGAGCAGCCTGCACACCTCAACTTCTGTGTTGGCATTTACGACCAGTTAGAAGTGTAAAGATTCGTTTTTAGAACAAGTCAATTCATTTACTTTGTCCCGATTGTTTTTTTTGTACGTACAAACAACAGTGCTGATATTCATTTTATTAGATTCTTGTGCTGATTGGAAACAGATCGTGGCACATAAACGTAAAGACATAATGTGAGAGGTGCAGCACAATGTGGACAATAAAATGGCGCCTTAACTTGAGGGTTTAATTTGTTTGGTGACGAAGCTCGCAACTCAAAACGCATGTAACTTAAATCACCTTTCTCCATTTCAATGAATGGAAATGCCCTTGTGCTCCTTCTGCTGTACACACCTTGGCCACCGGGGGGGCCGTATAATAAAGTGCGACAGACACAAACGAAGAAGAGTTTCACAACTAAGGGACTCTGTATACTGCAGCATTGGTCATTTTTCTCGGGCAACAAAAAGAAAAAAAAAATGATGCTTATGAGTATTATTTTACTTGTCGACGCATGTTGCTTCACCTTTAGTGTTCTAGAGGGTTCGAATACCGCAACTATTAATGCTGTATATCATAGAATGTACATGTTTAAAAGACACATGTAACATGGAGGCACACAACAAAAGCATAATATTACATGCACATCCACACAGAGCTACTTAAGCCGCTTTCCCCACTTCCACCTGTTCCAGATTAAGCACAGCACACCTGCAGGGATTAAGCTCACTGCCAAATCAGTGGCCACAAACACACGCAGGCACAAAATTACATACGCATAAATGTCCTGAGACAACTTGCATTGTTATCCCAACGTGTATTGTACACGCACGGCAGCAACCGAATTTCGTACCACGATCACGAATATGTACGTTATAACGGTAGCTCGTTGTAACCTTTTCCTATAAAATGGCCGCCAACTAAAATACAGGATAAACATGTTGATTACAAATATGTGTATATGGAGAAAAAAAAAATGATTCGATCAGAAACAAACAACTGCAGCGTTCCCACTTCATCTCTGAAAATTTTCAGTCAGCAAATGTTAGCCAGTGGCGGCGAACATTCCGGGAGACTCCTTTTCCAAAGTGAGAGACAACTTCAGCCTTCAGAGACTGCAAGATTTGCTTCCGTTTGCCACACATGTTTTCACAGGCATGTTTTGTGAGCTATGTCAGGAAGTACAACAATGTCCCGAGTCGATTAGTAGCGTTGCTAAGCAATGGAGGGGAATCCTGCGCAGTACGTTTTGTTCCTGAGCAAGGTCGCGGCGGCAGTTAGCTTCCCGCGGTTCATTGTCACGAAGATGTTTTCACCCTTTTGTGGGAAAAATCTGGTCGTCGTAATGAAGTTTGCATTCTAAAGGTGCTCGTTGTGAGCAAAATCGGCAAATGGAAAACGAATGACGTGAAATTGGACTTTGAAATGTGAACGTCATGGGGGTGAAAATGTTCTAGGTCGGATATGAGGGTCGTCTGTATATGAAAGGTGGTAGTGCACGCCTTTGTTCTTGTTCATTGTAACCTCAAAAGGTCGAAAATATTTTTGGTTGGGCATCAGGAGTTAAGACGAGAGACTGAAATTTTTGGCTATTATGAGGGATGAATAGCTGGAGCAGATGCGCAACTTTGAAGAACTTTTTTTTGCTTGAATTCGCTCATCTCTCACGTGAACAAAAGTATTGGGCCCTTCGTGACACGACGATATCGTAGCCATTTTAATATCGCGATATTGCCGTTGGCGTTACCTGCCCAGTGAGTAACGTGATTCAGAAATCCAATTCAGCAATCAGTCTTTGTGTCCATTGATTCCAAATCCCATTTTCCAGTTGTGACTCACAGAAATGAGTTGAGTGAAAGTGTTTACATCTTAAAGGTCCATTTCCAGCCGTATACGGTGTCTCTCCCCCAATGCAATATCCTCCCAACATTTTCTCTCAGCAGTTTACGTCTTCATAAAATCTGACTTTTCATTAATTACCTCCTGGGGAAACAAGCGCATCTTGCCCTTCCTGTGCTTTCTCAGAGAGGAAGCGTAGAAAGGGGTTCTTATTTCGTGACAGATTTTTTTTTTTTTTTAATTTAGGCATTCATACATTTTGAAATTTTTTGCCCATGAGAGCTGAACTCAGCAAAACGTGATTCGATGTGAAATGTAACTGTTTGAAAATCAATGCATGAATGTAATCTCATTACAGAGTCACTATCTCAGCCGGTGTATTTTAGGAAAAAATAAAAATAGCCAGGTAAGCATGCGCTCCACAAACTATTTGACACCACGATGAGTACAGGATGAGAAGCAATGCATTTCGCTGGCTCATCATATCGGGCAAGAGTGTCAGAATTCACTTCACATACCAAAATAGCTTTGCCCAGCTAAAAGGTTTGTCTCGCTGCAGCTGGAATGGATCTTCAAGCGCTTCAATCAGATCAAATTATGGCATCCACCCCCCGCTCTCAAATCTGTTTACCGTCCAGCCGCAGCTCTGCCTATTTCTTCCCTCGAACTGTAACACCGAGCATTCCTTCGATAAGGATTTATCCTTACAGCGATCAGACGTTTATATGCAAAAGGATAAATGCTTTGGAAAAAATAACAAGTGAAGCTGAAAAATCGTTATCGTATTTTTCGGATTATAACTCGCAGTTATTTCCATAGTTTGGCCCGGGGGGTGCGCTACAGTTGTTTGTTTCCATGTCTCAAAAAATATTTTTTCTTGATAGAAATATATTTAGAATTGACATGTTTATAATGTGGCGGCCCGGTGGGCCAGTGGTTAGCGCGTCAACCTCACAGCGCAGAGGTACCAGGTTCAATTCCAGCTACGGCCTCCCTCTGGGAGTTTGCATGTTCTCCTGGGGCCTGCGTGGGTTTTCACCGGGCGCTCCGGTTTCCTCCCACATTCCAAAAACATGCATGGTAGGCTGATTCAACACTCAAAATTGTCCCTGGGTGTGTGTGAGCGCGGATGGTTGTTGGTCTCTGTGCGCCCTGCGATTGGCTGGCAATCGGTTCAGGGTGTCCCCCGCCTACTGACCGAAGACAGCTGGGATCGGCTCCAGCGCCCCCCGCGACCCTTGTGAGGATAAGCGGATCGGAAAACGAATGAATGAATGAATGCTTATACTCTATTACATGTTTATGTTTTTACATCTGTAAACGTTCATCGTGTATTGCACTTCATAGTTGGCGGCCATTTGTTGGAAATGCTTCCAACGAGCTCCCGTTATAACGGACAGTATATAAGTAGGATTGTGCGCAGTATCCCGACACCTTTGAACGGGCACATGGTGAGCCTTTTTTCTTTCGCCGAAAGAGCAATTTGCTTCCTGATTTTCACTTCCCACAGCGCTAATTGGCTCGAGGGATCAGAGAGGATTTGTGGAGGGGCGGAGCTCGACAAAAAGACAGACTCCCATCTCCCCGTATCACATTAATTCAGCCACATACTCTATCTGGAACTTGTGCACGGTCCACCTTTCAGCCATCACTGCTGCTTCCGTTTTGGTTAATTGGAGATCCAGACATAAAATAAAAAGTGATGGTGGCAAAACTGGTGAGTGTCCCGCTCAAGGCATCATTCTACGATGAGGCAGACTGTGTACACCAACCAGACACAACATCAGGCCACCGGCACGAATGATATCCCAAACAACAGCTGCATAAAAAAAAAAAATAATATGGCCCCGCAAAGACTAATAATCACATCACGTAAAAATAGACCTTTTCTCAGTGATGTCACACCTACTTGCAAGTGG